GGAAGGGAGATGCATTTGGCCACAACGTGCAATGCCTGGAGGAAAAGAAGCCCCAATAAATGCAGAGGTGAGAGCAGAACCACGACACCAGAGCCCCAGACGCATCCTTCATGATGATGGAGAGCTCCAGCAGAGGCAAAGACCTCACTGTTTATGGGTGATGAAGAAGCCTGCTAAGAAACCTCCTCCAGGTGTGTTATGGACATGGAAAGGGAGAGGTTCCTCTGCCTTCAGCATCTCTCATCCGGCATCTGACAGAGCTTCCTACCTCTAACATCTACCCTTTAACATGTGTCTGGCCCTGGATGGGGACACGGCGGCCCGTGATTGCTTACAAAACCTCCCAGAAAATCTCCTCAAAGCCTCCAACCATCCGCTGCACACCGGGATGCTTTTAAATGATAAAGAGCGAGCAGGCATTTCTCTGGAGCTGCCTGAAAAAGAAGAAAAAAAAAGAGCCTGTTTTAATGAAATGCATCAAAATATGCATTTTTGCATATTTTGGAAGTGTTTCATCGGGCTATTTAAATTCCCCGGAATTTCTGAATGCTCCAGGGGCTGCACATGCTGGAAGGAGGAAATACGTCCAACAGCGAGAGACCCCAAGAGCTCAGGCTCCAGCTTGCAGGACTATCCTAAGCTGCTTGGATGCTGGACTAAGTTTCCCCTTGAGGAGAAAATGTTAGGGATCTGCTCACAAAAAGACAAAAATGCAGCGTTTAAGCATCGAGGGTGATGCCTGGGTAGGAGAGACATCTGGGCGCTGCATGGAGGGGTTACCAGCAGGCTGGATGCAATGTCTCCTTGGGAACATGCTGGGCTCGTTGCTGAGGGGGGGTCCTTCATGCCCTGTGCACCCCAAATCTCTCTGATCTCACCAGCAGCTTCTTTCTGGAGATGACGCCAGGCAAATTCCACTCGGGAGGGAGACATGCTGTCTACRACGGGAATAAACAGCCATGGGAAGCAGCCCTCATGGGAAGGAGAGGGCTTCCCGGAGAGGTCTCAGGGCCAAGATTCTGCGGAAGGGCTGGCTCAGTGTGGAGAACTTTGTGTGGATGCTCCGTATCCCGCCGTGCATTCCCAACACCTCGGCGGGGCGTGCAGAGCACCATGCACCGAGCTGGAATTGCATCGGGAATAGAGTTTATTTTGCTCCCAAGGTCTCCCCTTGCGTCCGCAGAGCTCCGCTCATGTCCGCCCAGGCCAGTGCTGCACATTGCCGGCTCTCCAGCCGCGCTTTTGAGGTTGGCTGGAGGCCTCCGGGTGCCTCCTAAGAGGCTTGTGAGCGGTGGGAGAGGAAAACAAGCCCAGTGCCAGTCCTTACGCACAGCCTACACCTCCACCGGAGCCCAGAAACGGAGCGAAGATTGAAAGTCGCTGCAGTCTGGATGCATTAATAACAACACTAAAGAGCAACGGCGCGCTGACAGCCTGCTAAACTTGCCTGCGCTGAAAAGCCATCGAGCAGTCGTTTTCCCCCAAGATCCAGGCTGGTGGGAGGAAATCGAATAATAACAACATAGAAAAAAAAAAGGGGGAAATGAAAGAATGAGGGTGACAGATAAAATCGCCGGGTTGCGGGATGGCCGTGCGGGCTTGGCGGTGGCACCAGGACGAGCGGGCGGCTTGCACGGGGCACGGGTGGCGGGGGGAATCTGGGGCGCCCGTGGCAGGCTGTGTGCGGGCGGCAGCGCGCTGTCAAACGTGCCACGGTTACGGCTGCCAGAGTTGCCAGCGCCGAGACAGCAGCGAGCAGAAGCCCCGGCTCTGAGTCACTGCGGCAGCCGCTGCCGCGAGAGCTACAGGAGTACCTGTCTACGCAYGTTCCCCATCCACGGCCAGCGCTGGTTGCCCCTCTCCTCGTTGCTGCGAGGTGCGTGGACCCCTGGAGGTCCTCATCTTGCAGCAGATGAGCCAAAGGACGGGGTTGTTCCTCGTCTTCTCCCCATGATGCAGAGACACGTTCCCCGTTGGCTGAGGGTGGGTCTTTGGGATGTTCTCCAAAACCCCTGTGAGTTCAGGCRGGGAAGGAGAGCATTCCAATGGTTGCTCAAGCTCCAACTTGGGAAGGAAGGAAAATAGGCCTGGTCTTGAGGCTGAAGCAAAGTGATGCTGCTTGAGCCGTGGCTCGATGAGCCGTGACCTGACTGTTGGCACCTGAGATGAGCTTGGGTAAGTCACCTTGGTTCCAGGCCACAGTTTGCCCTTCTGGGCAATGCAGAGAGCAGAGCTGGTCTATTTATACGGCRCTCTCTCCATTTCCAACAACGATGGGGTACTAATCCCTGTGAATTTTACAGGGGCTGATGTGGTTTGAGTGCTTAATATCTACTGTGGTCCCTAAAGTCCCAGCTGGTGAGTCCATGAAGCAGCATGGGAATGTCAGCACTGTCACTTAAGCCTCCCTTTCCGAGTTCAGACCTCCCTTCTCCTTGCTCAAAGCGGCCCTGCAAGGACCAACCCTGGCACTGATCCAAGGATGCTCCAGGGCTCCTTAGGTCCCTTCCCAGCCAGGCAGCACCCAGGGTCCAGATCGCATCTCAGTTGACTTCTCCTGCTGGTGTCTACTCTGCCCCGTGCACCAGCCTGATCAGGGCTCTACCATAGGTGGCTTCCAACGCCTCCAAGACATAGAATCATAGAATGCTAAAGGTTGGAAGGGACCTCAGAGGTCATCGAGTCCAACCCCCCTGCTCACGCAGGGTCACCTAGAGCATGTGGCACAGGGCTGCATCCAAGCGGGTTTTAAAGATCTCCAAAGAAGGAGACTCCACAACCTCTCTGGGCAGCCTGTGCCAGGGCTCTGTCACCCTCACTGTCAAGAAGAGCAAGAAGTCCTCAGAGAAGAAGTCCTCACTGTCAAGAAGTCCTCAGAGCAGTTGCCCAGAGCCTGCTGTTGCAGTGACTTYGGAAGAAGGGGGGCCTTGCTGCAAACAGCTTTTCTTCTGGCAGCATCCAAATAACGTCACAACGGGTCAAATCAAAGGTCCATCACTCCTCATCACCAAAGACAAAAGCGGGTGCCCAGGGGATATGGGAGTGCAAGTACATCTGAAGCTCCCCTGAGTGCACTCCTGACCTCTGGCCACTTGCTGCTCTCGGATGTCCGGAGGTGTTGCTGTACCACTAACAACCCTTGTGCACTTGAAAACGCTGCCCTTAAGCCCTGTAAACTTTTACCACCTACAATATCCTGAGGCAGAAAGTCCCATGCCTTATCTTCCCCTCATGGGGAGAACATCCTCCTCTTCGTTAGGGTCCTGGTCCCTGATAGCTTCACTTGATATCTGCTGTCCTTGCATGGGAAGGAAACGGAGCACTTAAATACCTCTGAAAGTCCGCTCTGCGCCTACTCCCTCTTCATCCGGTGCCAGGAGACGTGGCACCAGCCTGGTTGAACATAAGATGCCCTTTGCCCAGATTGCTGCCAGGAACAGAGCTCCAGTGCATCTTCAGCTGCTGCAGATCAGCCCCACTGGAGAACAGGCCTCGGGGCTGGCRTTGGAGCTACCTGTGCCTTTATTTCGCCTTCCCTGACTCATCCTGCCAGCTCCCTGGGACAGGGAGGCCCAAGGCTGGAGATCCCAGTGTGTCCACGGCCCTGCTCATTGCCTTGTGTATCTGAATGGATGATGCATCAGCTCCTTCATCCCATGCATGACGGGCCCTGTGGTGCCTGGTGATGCACACAKGCAAAGGGCACAGTAAGGCTGGCAGAGCGGAGCTTGTGCTGTTCTGGGAGAGGACACATGCACATGGGCACGGAGCAGTGCCAAAGGCATCAGGGAGGCCTGGATCTGGGTTGTGGGGCGGACAAGTCAAATCTGGGTGCCAGGATGGCTGAGGGCTCGGAGATACCCACCATCCYATCCTCACCAGGCTGCACAGGACAGAGCTCTGCCAGTGCAGCATCCCATGGCCAAGAGAGCCATCGGGGCTCCGTGCTGCTGTGATGCAGGGACAATCGGGGAGCACAATCAGTGTGGAGCTGCCCAAGCAGCACAAGTGCCTGGTACACAGACTGCCTGGACTGGGACCTCTTGCAGGTCYAGCACTGCCAGGGCTGGGACATCCATCTGCAGTCCCAGTGCTCCCTGGCGCAGCGGGACAAGGAGCTGCCTGCRGAGCGAGTGCTGCCCAGCCCTGCCCTGGGCAGCCCAGTGCTGCCTGGTACTGCAGCTGCAGCTGCACACATCATCTGCCTGCAAAGTGAGATATTGTCCAGCGCTGTCCAGGACAGAGATTTGTCTGAAGACCTGCTACTGCGTGCTGCGTGGTGCTAGGGGCCTGTCTGCAGACCCAGTGCTGGGGACCTGTCTGCAGACCTGGTGCCACCCGGTGCTGCCGGGTACCACTCAGTGCAGCCAGAACAGCGACCTCCTTGCAGGCCTGGTGCAGCTGGAGCAGGAGGAGCTGCCCGTGCGCACAGCCGGGCCGGGCAGCAATCTGCYTGCATGCCCCATTCCGGTGGGAAAAGGCCCGGCGCGGGCAGGGCCGGCYGCTCCACCGAGCTCCGGCGGTGCCTGGGCTGGAGGCGGCGGCTGCGGCCTGGCACAGGCCGGTGAGCGGGGCGCGCACGGAGGGTCCGCGGTCGGTCCGCGAGACAAAGGCGGCGGCCGCAGGGAGCGGCGCGGCGCGGCGCGCGAGGCCGGGCGCGGCGCGCGGCGGGCGGGCGGCGCGCGGCAGGTGCGACCCCTTCGGCCCCTCCAAGGCGGGAGCGGCTCGGAGGCCGCCGAGCCGCAGCGGCGGCGCCGTCAATCAGCGGCGCCCCCCCCACCGTCCTCCATCCACCCCCCCCTCGCTCCCCGCCCTCTCTCCGCACGCCTCGGCGCGCTGCATCGGGCTCCGTGACAGCAGCCGGCTGGAGACGCCGTCGCCGAGCGCCGCGGGAGGCTCCGCTGCCGGGCAGCGCCGCGGCGGCGGCTCCTGGCTGCCCGCGGCCGCCGGGGCTCCTCGCTGACACCCCCGGCCCCGCCGCTGCCCGCCTCGCGAGGCTGCCGAAGCATGCGGAGCCATGGGCCAGGGCTGCGGACACTCCATCCTCTGCCGGAGCCAGCCCTACCAGGCGACCACATCTGACCTGTGAGTCCCCTGCGGCCGGCAACGGGGCTGGGGGGACGGTTCCAAGGGAGGGGATGCTCCGCGGGGTGATGCTGGGCCAGGGGAAAGGGAGCCTTAGGGAGACATCGTGGTGACAGGAGGCAGGGAAAAGTTCCTCCTGCCTGACAGCTGGAGGGGAAGGGGGATTGCGGGGTGGCGAGGGAGTGGCAAGTGACCATGACCCCCACTCTCCCTCGTTATCCCCCCCGCTGACCAACTGGGTTAGCCAGGAACAGGTCACTGCTGGTGGCTGCTTGGAGGGCTCAGTGCTGGAAGGCTGGTGTCGACAGCATCTCTGTGTTTCCTGAGGCACTCGTTATCCAGGGGGCATGGAGGGCTTCCAGCATGGCTATGGGCTGTGGGGGGACCAGGGCAGGTGCGGGGTGACTTTGTAAAGTGCAGGTCGGGCCTCTGAATCACGGTGCCTGGCGCTCCACACGAAGCAAAGAAGCCACCTGCCCCCCACACACCCACGCAACAGGTCTGGGGTCCCCGTGCTGCTGCGCCTGTTTGCATGCAAGATGAGGAAGGGGCTCCGGGGGCCAGCGGGGCTCTCTCCCTGCCAGCACTGCTGCGGGCACAAGGGGACTCTGCGTGTGAGCCTGGGGTGACCTTGCTCTGGGATGACAGTGCTCCCTGGAAGAGGCAAAGGGGGATGTTTTCCCGAGCCCACGTGGGGAGAGAGGCTGAGGTGGCTAAYGGGAAGCATGCGGTGGCTTAATTCCCACCACCCACGGGCTTTGCTGGTGCTGCTGGAGACCCCTCGGCTCTGGCAGCATGTGTGCRCAGCGTTCACGAGGCACCACAGCTGATGGGAGCAGGCTGTGCACAAGCGATTTGCAGTACGTGGCTGCTCTGCCTCCCGGGTGCTGGGTGTTCTCCTCTTGCCCCAGTCAGTCGCTCGTCCCCCGGGCAGTCGCTGCACAACCCTGCAGATCCCACATCGCYGGAGAGATGATCTGATCAGGCAGGGAAGGAGATGCGCGGCTCGGCAGCCTGGGAGGAACGTGGCTCGGTGCTTGGATTCCTTTGTCTGGCACCGCCAGCTCCACGTGCTCAGGCATCGGGCAGGCTGAGCGCTCCTGCCCTGCCTGGGACCCCTTCGTTGAGGAGGGATGGATCGCTCCATCACGGCATGGAGATGTGAGGAGCTGGCAGGGCTCCATGCGCAGATGTGCCTCTGCAGCTGGAGCGCAGCACAGCCAGGGCACAGGGCGAGTGGAACATCTACCCCCCTGCCCCGGGGAACAGCGCAGAGCACGTTCAACCTCGCTGCATCGCCACGTTTTCACACCCTCCCCAGGGTCACATTCAGATGAAAATTTGCCTTTCAGCAGGGAAAATATCCTCCAGCATCATTCCTGCCTAGGTCCCTGCAGCTGTGCAAGGGATAAATGTCCATAGCAGGGTCTCGCCCTGGGTCACTAAGCTCCCCTACCCTGCCTTGGGTGCTGGGTCCAGCCTCCCATGCAGGTCCTTCCTTTGCTGCCTGCTCCAGCTTGGTCTCTGCTGCTTTGTGCGCTCCRTCCCCCACGGAGATACTTTCATGCTGCCGTCAGAACATGCGCCCATGTTCTTTTCTGTGAGCAAACTGCACAAAGGTCTCGAAATGCCATGCTATCCACATCTTCCCTCCGGCTGGGAACCCTCTTGTTGCTTGTGGCTGCTGTTTAATGGCCTTTCAGAAAGGTAAATGTTACTGAAACTTAAAGCAGCTGGGTGGACAGGGCTCTCAAAAGCCAACCAGGGCAGAACAGGGTGGATCTGTGGTGCATGATGAAGCAAAGGATTCTCCTTTTTATATAGGATATAACTTGCACCCATAGACCTTGCTCACGTTGTTGCTAGGAGGTCCATGTTCGTGTGCACCCCAGGGCTGCACGCAGAGGATACAAAGCCCTCTTGGGTGCTGTCCTTGCTCATGCAAGCAGTACTGTGCACAGTGCACGTTCACCCCAACGCCGGCGATCTCTGGTACTCCCCATCCCTCCGTGCTCCTCTTTGCTCCCAACTGTGTCCAGGCGCATTGGGGTAGCACTTTTGCTAGGTGCTAGGAGTTGCATGGTGCCCCGTCCCACCCTCCTGCACCCCATCAGGCTTTAACAGCAATGCCATTGCCTTCTCCCTGCAGACTTTTGCCCTGCATCACGCCGGGCTTCGGGGAGAGACAGAGCCTTGCAAGTGCTGGGGGACGGGGAAGGAAGGGCAAAGCAGCAGGAGCCTTGCGTGACGCGGTGGATTGCACAGGCTTAGCGCCGCTCCTGCGTCCCTGCTCGGCGGAGGTGGGGACTCTCCGTGGGTGCTTGCAAGCTGCCATCTCAGCTCGCCCGTTCTTCGCCTTCCACGTGCGTAGCGCAGCCCCCTCGTGAAGTTGCGGCTTATTTCAGGGGATGCRACATCCAGTCAAGTGCCATTTTGCGTTATCCAGGCCACGTTTGAACCCGTTTCCTCCGTGCTTTCCCYGCCACGGGAGGTGTGTTCCGCATCCTGACCTGGTTAGCGGTGCACTGCATGCGTGGGTGCCGTGGAAAACGGGAGGTGAACCTGCTGCCAGCCTGCACTCCCCAGCGCCCCTCCTGCACCACGATCCCGTCTGCATCCTACAACGCWGGGGCATCACGGATAGCCCTGCTCGTGGAGGGGGATGCTGGAGAGCGTGGATTTAATTGGAGATGGGAATGCAAAGTGGCCTTGTTAGCAGCACCCTGCTCCTTCTCGCTGCCCTCTGCCACTGCGTGCAATGTGAGCAGCGCGTGCTGCATTGGCATGCACGCGCATGCAGCACATGCACCAGGCTGGAGAGAAAGTCCAGCTGGAAGCAAAGCTTGGGGAGGCCAAGGACAGGCGCTGCAAGCAGCAGGGCTGCAGGAAAAGCCACTTGCGGATGTGGTTGAGGCCACCAGCGCCCTTGCAGCGTGCTGAGCTCCGCTGCCAGCTCTGTGAGCACGGCCGTGCCAGGCACGTGGTGGAGGAGAGACCTTGCATCGGGCTCCAGCTGCAGCTGGGACGAGGGACGGCTCCGTCCTGCCCTGCATGCAGGGCTGGCCATGGGGACCTGGCCACACGATGGGGATCTGACCATGCAACGGGGATCCCTTGGGGCCRGGATCCCCGGGGATTCCAGGGGCCGGGATGCGCAGACAGCAACGTTTCCTTATGCATCGTCGCGAGAATGCCTTAACATTTGCACTTGCTATTCAAGGCACTCAGCAAATGTCAGGGCCCCGCTGTGTGGCCTGTTATTACTTGTGCAAAGGTGCTGCACGATGCGCCGCCCCCGATGCACCCATTTTATCTCCCCGACGCTCAGGAGGGCGGCTGGGGGGGTTCGCGGCTCACACGTGAACTCAGCAGTGCTATCCTGAATTTATGCCGCGCTGACACGAAGCTTGAGGTTGTGAGCACCTCCGACATCCCCGCGGCTCCTGTCAGCCGGGAAGCGTCTGGAGAACGTCAGCGTCACCCGGGTGTCTTGGTCCATGACCCTGCAGGCCATGTGTGCTTCGAGCACGCTGAACTGGAGCTGCAGGAGGGCGCAACGTGCCTGCAAACCGTCCCGGCTTCCAACACATCCCTGCTGCAGGCAGGCTCGACATTGCGCTTCCCAGGGGCGCTGTGAATCTAGGAGGTTTTTGGCAAAGCCCGGGCTTTACACAGGGCAAAACGGGGCCAAATGGTCCAGCTCCTCACCTCCCGCTTTGGCTGATGCTCTAATTAGTGCAAGGGATCTGCTGGGGTGGCCTTGCTCCAGCAGCAGAGCTGGCCCTGGCTCTTGGGCCAGAYGAGGAGGGGATCCTTCCTCCAGCAGCACCTCCGGCCCTGTCTGGGATCATCCCCTTGGTTTACTGCCAGAAAACCTGGAATCTGGATAGCGTTTGTGGCCCTCAAAGCCTCCCATCTCCCCATCCTCATCCTCATGTGGCTGAAGAACATCTCCAGCGCTCCGGCAGTTCCCAGCTGGGGGATACTGGGTTTCCCCCTCGGGGAAGCCAGGGATGCATCACCCCTTTCCGGGAATCCTTCGGCACGCTCTCTCCCTCTCRACTCCCTTACTCGATTTCGCTTTTGTCTCCTTCCCGGCTCCCACGTGGCTCCCCGAGGGCCGCGCTGGTCCGGAGCCAGGGAAGCAAGCCGGGCRGTGCAGGAGCTCCCTCCGGCAAAGGGCCGAGCTGTCCTACTTCATGTCCCCCGTCCTCAATGGGAGCGAGGATGGGCAGCGCTTTGCAGCAGCGGGAGGGAGATGTTGCATCGGGGGTGTTGCGTCGGGGACGTTGCATCCCCTGCATCGGGGACATTGCATCCCCTGCATCAAGGACGTTGCATCCCCTGCATCAGGGATGTTGCATCCCCTGCATCAGGGATGTTGCACCCCCTGCATTGGGGATGTTGCATCGGGGATGTTGCATCCCCCGCATCAGCTATGTTGCATCCCCTGCATCAGGGATGTTGCATCGGGGATGTTGCATCCCCTGCATCAGGGATGCTGCACCCACAACATCGGGAATGTTGCATCCCCTGCATCGGGGACATTGCATCCCCTGCATCGGGGGTGTTGCATTGGGGACGTTGCATCCCCTGCATCGGGGATGGTGCATTCCCTGCATCAGGGAATGTTGCATTCCATGCATCGGGGGATGTTGCATCCCATGCATCGGGGATGTTGCATCCTCTGCATTGGGGACATTGCATCTCCCTCTTGGCCATTCCCGGACCACGGAACCAGAACATCCACCGGCCGTGGGAAGCTCTTCGCATGACCCCAGGCCTTTTTCATGGTGGCGACCTTGTTTTTGGGGACCGATCGGGAAAAATGGAAAGGGGAGAGCTGAAGGGAATTGAAAAAGTTGYGAGCGTTTTGCTCGCAGGGATCATATTTTGGGCTGCAGAAAATGCGCCGGTTTGGCTTTTTCATCACAGCTTGAGCAGAAAAAGCAGTGTGCATGTGAGGGTTGCTTTCAGGGATGGGGTTTTTTTTTTTTTTT